ACATACACTCTCTCTCTCCGTCTTCTCTCTCTCTCTTTCTCTCTCTCTCTCTCCCTCTCTCTCTCTCTCTCTCTCTCTCTCTCTCTCTCTCTCTCTCTCTCTCTCTCTCTCTCTCTCTCTCTCTCTCTCTCTCTCCCTCTCTCTCTCTCTCTCTCTCTCTCCCCCTCCCTCTCTCCCTCCTCTCTTCATTATTGGATATGTGCAATTCTCCATTGGTTTGCTACAAGTTTCTATTATCCTAAAATATGCATTAATTTGATTTCATTGTATGAATTAATCAGCTCATTAATTTCACTCTAACCTTTCGCAATTATACTCTGCCAGACTACATGTAAATGTAAATGTACATGTACATGTACATGTAAATTTAATGTACATGTACATGTACATGTACACATGTACATGTACATGGTATATGATCTCTCAACTTTCTCTAATTGATTATGGTATAATAGTGCAGATTCGTGCTTACTTTTCTCATTAATTTGTTTGAATAATAGTAAGCGTTTTATTATTAGTTTCCCATCTTGCATTACTCGAATATTTATCACTTTATAATTAAGCTCTGCTGTAAATTTTTGGACTGTTTCCTCCTCTCTCTCCCCCTTGCCCCTCGCTCTCTCTCTATTATCATTATTCAAATTCATTTATTTTACTAATTAACTTTGCTTGTGAAAGTGAGCCCTAATTACCTATGCATGCATGCGTGCGCCCATGCATACCTGTTCGCACTATTCCTAAGAGCATTCCAAACTTCATTAGGTCATCATTTAAAATGCTTACCCTATTGTCGACAAGGTTCAAGTTTGTACAAGCCTCTTTTGAAATGAGGCGTTCTTTGAAATTAAGAAAATTAGCGTATGTCGGTTCGTCTCAAACACTGGGTGTGGGTCTTGTTAATATTTTTTGAATGCGAGTTTGTGGCGTCGGTTTAGCTTTTGAACTTTTACTTTGAGGTTAAACGGTCCGTGTATAATGTATATGGACACATTTATCTAGTGCTTTATGATGGGAAAATGCTATAGAGTGGCACAGAAATGATGTCTACTCCTTGTGTTACATGTTATACCATATTTGGCTAATAGTATAAACAGCAGTCTTAATCTTCCGCATATCAATACACATTTGATTTTTGATAGTAATCGATATCTGTTATGATCATTGCATATCATATTAGGTGTCGTGTACCATACAGTAGTAACCTCTTTATTATTCTGGAGGTGTCCTCATTTCAGTGGTACTTTCCTATAGGTCCAAAATGTTATCCATATTTCAGGGTATCTTTATATAATAACACATGTTGCTACATGTTGCATCAGCTGCTATTAAATGTACATGTGGCTATGTGTACACTGTACTTGTGATTCTGTGTGCATACTTGCTAAGTATATGCATACAATCTGCCTTTGTTTGTTCTCTATGTTTTTAAAAGGTAAAAATATGCCAAGAGAGTCTGTTTTGTCTGTGTAGTGTGTATATACATAGATATGGCCCTTAGCTATCCTATCATGGCTTAGCCAATGCACCTGTCCTGTTCCCTCTTCACGTGTTGAGTGAGAGGAGATGAATCTTATACATGTAGGTCTACTGTTGGGTAAACTCATTTAGTGCGAGTATATCTGCTAAGTACTGCTAAACCCTCTCAGCTAGACCTATCACACAATCTACATGTACATGATACTTCATTTTGCTGACATGAAAGATGAAGGATAAAAGTAAACGAATTCAAAGAAGCCTCTTTCCTCCCTCTCCCTCCCTCTCTCTCTCTCTTAATACCTCATTAAACTTTATGCTATTAAAACACGAAATATGAAGAGGAGTTACTCCCTGTCCCACGTCCGTGTCATTTATACGCTCTTCATTAGCAATTTATTCCAAATATTTGAACTCGTAATCGCAGCTGCTACTCTGTTGCTACAACAAAATAATGATACACATTGATTTTATTACCTGCACAGGCTTGCCTGCACAGGCTTGCATGTATTGCTTGTACATGTACATGCATGTACTTGTACTTGTACATGTACTGTTGTTTTAGCTATATAAACTATGTAATGGCCTTTTGTAGAATTGGTGCTTTATTGTTTAACTTTCTACATTGCTAATGGCTCATCAATATCTTGAGAAAAAAAATAGGATTTCCAAGCCAGAATACATGTACATGTACTGTATTTGTTAATGATTGATATTGTCTAAAAATTAGCTTCAAGCCAATTACTATGCATGCCAAAAATGCCTGCAAAATTTTTGAACTAAAAAGAACAGAAATACATGTACATGTAAGCCCTGTGCGTACTTTCTTATCTCCTTTTGTTTCAAATTGTTTTTATTAATTGCATTCTTGAACTGGAGGGAGTTTTTAGACTATAATTTACATGTACATGTATGTACTGTACATTCATTGTACATTGTACATGTACATGTATTACATGTACATGTACATGTATATGTTAAATTAATCTTGTGTATGTCACAAGGTGACTTTGTTGTGATTATTTATATTCGAATGAATTGCGTAGCTATGTCTAATAAAGATCTAGAGAGAGAGTTTAATGATGATTATGTAACAAGGTACAAAAATGTGGAGGAGAGAAAAGACAAGAAAGAGAGAGAGAGATGAGAATCTAATATCGGTATTACACGTATATTTATTTATATTTTATTTATTTATATTACTTAATTTCTTTCTCCCCCAGATTCTAACAATCAATCCATTACCATTCCAATTGCTTCCGGAACTAAGTCCCTACTTCATTTCAATCTACTCACCACTCATCTCTCTCCCTCTCTTTCTGATGACGATGTTGTTTTTCACTTAGCTACTTCTAACTGTTCTATATGTACTCCCAGTGGTCGGGTTGCTGGTCAATTGGAAGGACCCACAGGCTCTCCTCTGTCCCGTTTTTCCATGCAGCAGCTCAAAGACGATGGCGTCTACTTCCAGCACTACTTAGAGGCGGGTCTTGACCCCGCCCTCATCTCGTTATTCATAACCACACCCACCAATCCTTCAATCAACCAGTCACTTGTCATTAATGTCTCGCCATTTAACGGCATCATAGAGTCTCTTGCCGAGCCACGCCTCCTCGTAAGAGAGGACGGGTCAGTTCTAATTAGTGCCCAACACTTGAGGGTGGGAACAAATTTCGAGACTCAGACCCCGGAACTGATGTACAGTATACAATCAATAGCGAGACATGGAAGTTTGGAATTATGGGAATCTGACTCGTGGACTCCTTTAAGCAATGGAAGTAGCTTCACCCAATCTCAAGTGGACACTTTACAATTAAGATACAGACAGAGCGGTCCAGTGGTGACAGACCTGGTCACTGACTCTGTTTCTTTGCTTGTCAGTAGCTCTCAACTTGAAGGGCCCGAGGTTTCGCTGATTATTTTTATAATGTCGTCCTCTTTCTCTTCATCTCCTTCTTTATCTGCCAACACGACCTCCTTATCCGTTCAAGAAGGAGGCTCCAGTCTATTTAGAAAAGACTCTTTGTTTTTCTCTTTCTCTCCTTCCTCCATTGAGTCAGGCTCTCTCTCTTATCCACTCTCTCATGATGACTTTGATATATCTCTCACTGTTGCATCTCTTCCTACAAGAGGGAGCCTCATCTTAAACAATGGAAGCTCTGAATATACTCTCTCTCTTCACTCTGTTTTTAACTATCAGGACATGGTGAGTCAGAAACTGACTTATGTTCATGATGGGTCTGATACGACTTTTGATTCCTTATCATTTCTGGTCAATATCGCATCTCTTTACTCTGACGCATTTAACGTATCAGAATCATCATTTGATATTGATATTGATGTTCATATAACGCCAGTAAATGATAATGCCCCTTCTCTGAAACAGCTGCGTTACATAAACCCACTTGAAGGCTCGTACGTCATTTTGAATGAGTCGTTTTTTAAGATCACTGATCCAGATCAGCTCCCGTTTGATTACTTGATCAGAGTTGACGAGGGAAGTGCCGAGGATGGTAACGGTCATTTTGCTGAAGTCAATAAAGGACTCGATCAGAAGATAAGAGAGTTCAAGATGAGTCAAGTCATCAGTCATGATATCGTTTATGTGTATAGAGAGTTGGATCCAGCCCACATACTCTCATACAATCATAGTGTCACCATATTTGATGGACTATATACTGTGAAACAGGTAAGACTCTAATGCATCTACGTGTACAGTAAGAATGGCCAAAAATGACTAGGAAAGAGTTTTCCATTTTTATAATTTTTTCTGATACATATACATGTACTTATGCTGCGTAGAAAGTTTGAGCTGATTCCGATCAAGCTTGGATTTTTTACAAATTTTTAAAGTACCTTCTTTCAACCTCCTCCCATTCGTTCTTTTATATTATGTCTTCTTCTTTTTCCACAGCAACTCAAAGTATCCGTGATCCCTCTCTCGATCTCTGTCTCTACCAATATTGCCTCCAACAGCCTCTGTCTACTAACCGCAGACTTACTATTTTCTACTAATCCTCCAACCCTCTCCTCTGACCACTTTATTATTGACATCACTCTACCAGAGAGGATGTCTGAGGTGACTGTGAGCATCGTGAAGCAGCCTTTAAGAGGATATTTACGAGAAAGTGAGAGCCCTACCCTCCTAACGTCATACTCTTACTCAAGCACCAACAATATCATATACACTGTTAACGATACTCTAACTCAGGAAACGAGTGATATTTTCCGGCTCCAGTTTTCTCTCGGTCACGGGCGGAGTCAGTTGGTTGACGTGGGCGTGTGTATAAAACCACTCCCATACCTCAGCCTTATGAATCAAACCTCTTTCACCGTCCTCGCAACGAGCGAGTTTGTTATCATGCCCGATAATTTAAATGTGGTTCAAACTCGTTTCAACGTTCCCTATCAGATAAGGTATAGGTTGAAGAGCATTGAGACAGATCCTGAAAAACTCAGTCCAGTTTACGGTGAGATACGTGACGTTAGCACTAACGAAGTGTTAACAGAGTTCACACAGCATGATATAAACTCTCAGAAGGTCATGTACGTCAGCTTTAATGAGCATCCCATCTCAACAGAATTTGAGGACAAGATATACCTTGAGGTTACTAATGGCTATTATACTTTACCGAAGTTCACTATTAGCGCCTTTGTCACTCAGAATGTGCTAAACGTGACAAGGAAAGGGTTTAGGGTGACTGAGGGTGAGGGAGAGCACATCATCTCCAAAGAAGAGTTCTACGTCGAGCCACTTGAGGGTTACGAAACCAGCATATACATACTGCAATATCCTCAGTTTGGGTCCCTTATACTCAGAAGGCCCAGTCCTGCTCCTGAAATTGTAGGCCCTCGACATTTTAATCTCCAGGACATCACGGAAGGATACCTCATTTATGAGTATGATGATAAAAATGAAGAGCAGCAAGACTTCTTTTATTTTTATTTTGTCCTAAGGAACAAGAACAATTCCGATTACAAGGACTTTCGTGGTATCCTATCGATCAGCATTGACCCCATCAATGACAACACTCCACACTGTAGCGCCAATAATCAATTCATAGTGCCAGAAGGATGCGAGAAACAGATCACTTCAGAGCACATTACGTGTTTTGACAGTGACCGTCCTCCTAACGATAACGAAATTAAATTAACTTTGCTTCATTTTCCACACCTCTTTGGTCAGCTTTGTGTAGGGGATAGATGCTCTAATAGTACAAGCCATGGCTTTGCTCTTACCTGGGCTGATATCTTGTCCGGTAGATTTACTTTCAGAGCAGGTGACCAAAGTATACCTGTTTATGCCTCATTTAATGTTAAGGATGAGCTTCATCAAGGTAACGTAGTACTTTTTGAAATTGATATTCAAAGTACTGTTGCCCATCGAAATGCAACAGGTTCGGTGAGTGTCATAGAAAACTCTCACTCATTCATTGGCTCTAGCGTCATTTCATACACCACCGACTGCTCCAAGAGCATCGCCCCCTCAGATATACTCTATAGTATCAGCACTCTCCCCAAATATGGTCGTGTGTTAAAACATGGCCTCCCAATAAACATTGCTAATAATTCATATCATTTCACGCAAGAGGACATCAATTCTCAGGGTGTGGTTTACGAGCAAGACGGCTCCAACGTAGAGACTGATTTCTTCAACGTATCAGTTCAGATCCTTAGCTTCAGAGAAGACGATGTGTTGATCAGCGTTAACACAACCACCATTGATGATGATCCACCTACGCTAGACATCACTCGTGTTTTATTCGTAGGTAACGGGACTGTAGCTGATATACACAGATCAATACTTTCAATGAAAGATCTTGACACGACCGACCCGTCCAAGCTTGTTTATCACGTGATCAGCTCATCGTCTGGCAAGATTGAGCTACACAGGCATGACAGGCAGAATTACTTGGAAACTGATTCGTTCACACAGCAAGACATCAATGGGAACCTGGTCAGGTATAAGCATGATTTGCTAACGGCTTGGTCTGATACGATTGTGCTTTGCGTCTCTGATGGCATAAACGATCAACCAAATAATTACACACTTCGTGTCATCATAGCGTCCAATACAATAATAGAGACAGTCGTTGATGGAGCTGCCCTGATGGAGGGAGGGAATGTAACAGTGGATCCGACCAGTGTCACTATCAAGCACCCGTACTTCTCCACTGCAGCAGGTACTGTCACTGTACTCCAGGGTGTGTCTAGCGGCCATCTTAAATTAGATGGAGAAGATTGTGGGAGTAACTGCAGTTTCTCACTCGACAAGCTAAGAAATCAGAATTTAGTGTACTATCATGATGGAACCGAGACCTTCCACGATAGTTTTGTCTTTGAGATACACTGGGAAACCCCTTATCACACCAACGAGCTAGAATACTCGTTTGATATCCAACCAATAAATGACGAACGCCCACACATTATTAACAATACTCTATTCAATATTTATGTGACGAAAACTAATCCCCTGAATGCCTCTTATCTAGCTTCAGTTGACTCTGACACTCCCCCTCATTTATTATGGTATAATTTCAACATTGATGTTCGAGATAGGAGTGAGGGATACTTTGCTCTTAACGGAACCGAGCAAGATAGTTTTACTCAAGCGGACATTGATAATGGCTTGGTCTCTTTTGTTGATAAGCGGAAGTACGAGGGATTCCCGGTCAGTTTGAATTTCACAGTCTCTGACGGCTTTCACGTCACATCTGGAGTTTTTAAAATCCTTCCAAAAATAGTGAAAATCAGAGTATCGAATGCTAGTGTATCAGTTCCAATGGGTGGGAGTGTGGTCATCAGTACAGAGTTTCTATCCGCTAGCACAAATCAGGATGATAAAATTGATCCTAATAGCATCAGTTATACACTGGCTGATCCTAAGTATGGGATTAAATATGGGAGACTTAGCCTAGTGTCTTCGCCATTAGCTGAGGTGATCTCTTTTAATCAGTCGCAGGTCTCCAATGGTGAATTACTGTATACACACACTGCTGTTGATGTATGGGAACCAGCCGAGAGGGTAGCCCTCATTTTGTATCACCCACTGGCATTAGACATAGAAGAGATAGTGCTGATTATAAATATATCTCTACCATCGACTCCTAATACAACACTGGCTGTTAAAAAGGAGCTAAGACTGAGAGAGAATGATATGATATGCCTCAACCAATCTCTTCTTGATGCTAGGAATATTCGCTATCAAACTTGGAAAAAAATGAATCAAAGTACATCTGATCCTCCTGGCTTATATGACCTATCTCCTCTCTTTCACGTACTCCACCCTCCCAGCCATGGTAGCCTGCTACTCAATGACAGCTCTGACTTTAGCATGAGGAATTTCACACAGACAGAGCTTCTAACTGGCAGTGTGTGCTACTCTAATGGTGGCTCTGAGAAGCACAACGACTCGTTTATTATACAAGTACAAGTAGTCGATTCTCGTGGCACTGTGTATTTCACCTCACCACCCGAAACTGTTAATATTGCAATTGAGCTGTACAATGATGAGCTTCCATATCTTAATGCCTCACTTCAACTTACGAAATCAATTGTCGAAGGATTCCGATCTCTCATCACACGCTCTGATCTTCACGTCATTGATGAAGATAACGAGCCTCAGAGAATATATTATTCTGTTTCTAATCTAACGTCCGGTAGCCTCGTCTTGGGAGCAGACTCCAGTACGCCAGTGTTCACTTTTACTCAAGCCGATATCAACGCTGGTAGACTGGTGTACGTGCCAGGTGAAGTGGGTGTTGCTTATTTTAATTTCAGTTTTGTGGATGAAGAGGGAACGACGGGTGGTCAAGAGTACAGGTTTACTTTGAATATCTCGAGCTTTTCTTTCAACGTAAACTTTAATGATCTAGCTATACTTCAAACTCACACGTTTGCTCTTATAACCGCCAATAATCTAGAGACAGTGACTAACGGGAATCCTTTATTGACACGTTTTAATGTCACTACGCTACCTAGTAATGGCAAGATATTAGTCTCGGAAACAGCTTCATCTGAATTCTCGCAGTTGGACGTTGATGAAGGTCGTGTCAAATACAGTTTGTTTGATACCAGTCACTATAAAGACGTCATGAGCGTTGATGCTGTTAATAATGACATTAAAATATCGTTCAATATCTCTGTGAGTGTTGTGCTAGATGGCAGTGCTAATGACGCTGTTCTCAATTTGACGAATGCTTCCTCTGTCCTCCTTCCTCACTCTCTCTTTGATATTCACCTAATGAGTTACGACCTTCCAGTGATAAAGATAACCTCAGAGTTACAATATGGCTACTTCTCTAGAAAATTGCCTAACATTGGCATGGGAAGTAAGAGGATAACAGAGTTTAACTATGAGGACCTTAAATCTAACAGTATATATTATAACTTTGAGCCTACCTCTTCTATTATTGATAGCAATGGTGTGTTGTATGAACAGATCACTGGTATTGTAACAGTCAGAGATCTGTCTCCTGGTGAATTCCACCTCACATTAACTTTAATTCACAATCATTTATCAACAACTACATCCGTTCCTTCATCGACTCTATCACCTACAAACGAACCAGTGGGTACCAATAGGCCTTCAACAGGAACGATAGAAGCTGCTTTTTATATACCCCTAAGTGCATTAGTGGTCCTCATATTGATACTATTGATTATAATTGTTTTATTCTGTTTCTGTCAGTCAAGGATCATTAAGTTGAAGCTTGCTAAAGGCCTAGCAGGAAGTGGAGACGTAGCTAAAGGAGGATTTCTACCTCCTCACTCGTCTCTGAGTTACAAAGTTGCCGATCCTCCTTATTACAGTACAGCGTCACCCCACTTTAGCTCCAGAGGAGGAGGAGAAGGAGAGATTGATGATATCAGCGATAGCTTATCCAACGTGTCAGGTGCCGATATTATGATGGTACGTCATCCCATATCATCGAGCCACACCCATTTACCATACCATCAGGATATTGGCTATCATTCTCACTCTGTCGATGAGGCCATAGGTGCCGGAGGTTATATGGATAGCGTGGGCCCTCCTGTTCAAAGGAGACCTCTTGAGACTCCGCCTTTCTTCTCCTCCCCTCATGCAGACCAGTACTGTATCGATTCTGTCCCTCGCTCCCGCTCTCCCCTCAGAAGACCAAGCTCTCTGAGACAAAACCCTCGTCCGTATTCATCAAGAAGCAGCCTCGGACGTGTCTCTCCCGTCAAACCGCCTCATTTCCATGCCCCGTTGAATTTCTCCCGCCCTGAGTCAGCCTCCAGTATGGGCTATGACAGCAGCTGCATCACAGAAGACAGACATTCCCGTCCTTCCTCAGTCAATACCTCGCTAAGAGTTGATGAAGTATGCAACAGCCAATATGAGGATAGTACGAGGTGTACTACTCCAGCAGCAGCTCCAAATACGAATGCTATTGCTCTGAAGGATCAGCAGTATTGGGTGTAAGATCATGGCCTTCACTGTATCTCTTTTTTATTTCTTTCGAACAGAAATCAATATCAGTCTATTGCATATTTGTTGTATTCTTTTTGTTTTGTGTTGTGTTTTTTATGTGTACTAAGTAGTTTTGATGTTATAGTGCTCTGTCACATTTTTTGTTATTTATCCATGATAATTATTATTATTACATTATTCATTTTTGTCTTTCCAATAACAACTGTCTCTTTTGTTGTCATATCATTTATTTCTTTCCCATTCTACTTCATCTCTCTCTCATATAATCAACTGTAACAATTACTTTTCAAATTTTTTATTATCAGTCAAACAATTAAATGTTTATAGTTGCGTGTACTATAAGTGAGCTAAACAGCATGAGCTTCATGAGCTGACAAGCACTACAATACAGTACATGGCATTTGGAGCAACTTCAAAAATTCATAAAAAATCCAAACTTAATTGGAATCAACTCAAACTTGCTACACAACATAAGAACATGTATATGCATCAGAAAAAGTTATAAAAATGGAGAATTCTCTCCTAGTTGTTTTTGGTGAAATTTGACCAAAAACCCTGTACTATAGTACAGGGTTATTGGCCCCATTTTTGAGTAACTTCAAAAATTCGTAAAAAATCTAATTTTGATTGGAATCAACTCAAACTTGCTACACAACATAAGAACATATATATGCATCAGAAAAAGTTATAAAAATGGAGAATTCTCTTCTAGTCGTTTTTGGTAAAATTTGACCAAAAACCCTGTACTATAATAGTACAGGGTCTTTGGCCCGATTTTTTAGTAACTTTAAAAATTCATAAAAAATCTAAACTTGATTGGAATCAGCTCAAACTTGCTACACAACATAAAAACATGTATATTTTATAATAAAATGTGCATTTAGCAGCCAGGTAGCATATAGTTAGCAAAAATTTATTGAACAGCACTTGCTCTGTATGCCTGCACACCATGAGACTCCACTACAACAGTAACACTAGAAAATTGACAATAAACACATTATAATTGTTGCATGCTAAGATCAGACCTCTCAGTAAAGTTATAATATTTAGTGCCATCCCACAGGTTCCGTATATTGACCATTTTCCAACCAAGCAAACTGAACTCTAGCGTAATATTATGACTAACACTATCCTGTGATGCATAATTATAATATAATAAGAATGAATAGTCTCACTCACAGCATTGTAAAGTGCAATAGCTTTCTCTCCATTGGTAATATTCTTTGCCCATATTTGGCAAACATTCTATTATGAAGGATTAACAGCACAGATCAAAGATATTAATACTCACTTCACCACAGGTTTTATCAAATCCTATCCTTTTACCTCCTGGCCCTGTAGTGTCCTGATTAATCTCTATCAAGTCTTTATTGAGCAGCACTTCCTTCATTATACTGGTCATGTTACGTACATCAGTAACTACTAGTAATGGAGCTGACATCAGACACCAAAGAGTGAACTCTGTACGATATTCAGTGTCAGTCATCCCAGGACAGTGAGAGGAATCAACAGTGTTACAGCTCTGAATAATGTCAAAATATTAAGCTAAAAATTGCATATTATATACCTGTCCTCCTGTCATAATGAAATCTGGATCATTCCATCCCTTACCAACGCCTAAAATAAGATAGTTTGATTAAAATAGACTAGCAAAAATATTATCTAAGCTACAAAATAGAACATTGAAAGTATAACTACTTACCTGCATAGTCTCCTAGGTCAGCATTAAGTTCAATTATCTTTGAGGTTGTTTTCCAGTCATCATGATGATCAGGCCCTGTCCTCCATGAGTTGGCATATTGGTGCATCCATTCCCAAGGTTTATCTATACCCCATTCACAGGAATTTAAAAATATTGGCTTTCCAGTTTTATTGAGTGCTTCAGACTATAGTAGGAATATTAAAAAACTCGTGTATTTTTCAAATAATATTGTTCTACCATTTCTTGATATTGTTTGTGTGGATCAAGCTGGGTGCCATTAACTTTAGTACTGCACCAATCCACTTTCACATCTAAAATAAGATTCATGCACTGTAGTTAATGTTAATACTAACATTCAACGCCCCAGCTAGCATATGCATTTGCATCTTGCTCATAATGACCTGTAAAAATATTGCAATTTAACAATTTTTTTGTTCAGCCAATGGTATATACCATAGCTTCCTGGTATGGTGTGATTTCTTCCTCCTGGGCTGCATGTATACATGCCAGCATCAGTATACTGCATAGGAACCATTTCAGCTTAAAGGGATAGCTCAACTTACCAATCCAGCTTTGAAACCTTTGGAGTTAATGTGCTGAATGACTGGAACAAGTCCACTGCAAAGTAAAGGATGCATTGTTATTGTACTGAGAGGCTATTGCAGTTGCGCTTACTCTGGAAAACGATCCTTATCTGGAACAATATTACCATTTTCGTCACGATGATCAGCCCAACAATCTTAATAATGGCAGACATGATCTTGCATGCACATAATGAAGCTCACCAGATATTATAACATACTCATAGCCTGCATCTTTCATACCATTAGTCACCATTGCATCAGTGACGTCCATTACTTCTTTAGCATCACAGTAATCTCTTTCACATCTGTAGTGTAAGTCCAATATTTAGAGTTTTACTATAATTCAGTGATTTATAATCACCTCCCATTTGTGCACCACATATCCCAGCCCATTGGTGGCTTCAAACCAACTCCTTTACAAGGATACAATTATATATGCTTTGCAAATTAAGGAAACTCACCATTGTTGTTAGCAAATACAGCTCCAGTGACTGCAAAAACGACAAAAAGTAAGTTTGACAACATTTTGCACTCTAAGCTCTTAGCAAACAGTAATACCGAATATACTCATATTAAATGTTCTAGCATAATTTGCATTTTTAGCTTTGCTTTGCATAATGCATAAAAATTACTGCATGAAACAGCAACTGTAGCCTGCAAAAATAAAAATTGTGCATAAAATATTAAGCAAATAGTTTAGCAATAGCAGGGCAGCAGATTTGTGTTAGTTCAACCAACTGAAGCAGCTCTGTATGCCTGTACTCCATGAGACTCCACTTCAACAGTATAACTAGAAAATTAACAATGATCATAAATAAATTATGTAAGGTCAAAACCTGTTGGTAGCATTTAGATTTTCATTCTTCCATAGGTTCTGCATGCTGACAACTTTCCAACCGAACAAACTAAAATCTAGCGTAATATTATGACTAACACTATCCTATGATGCATAATTATAATATAATAATATTATAATAAGAATGAATAGTCTCACTCACAGCATTGTAGAGTGCAATAGCTTTCTCTCCATTGGTAATATTCTTTGCCCATATTTGGCAAGCATTCTATAATGAAGGATTAATAGCACCGATCAAAGATATTAATACTCACTTCACCGCAGGTTTTATCAAATCCTATTCTTTTACCTCCTGGCCCTGTAGTGTCCTGATTAATCTCTATCAAGTCTTTATTGAGCAGCACTTCCTTCATTATACTGGTCATGTTGCGTACATCAGTAACTACTAGTAATGGAGCTGACATCAGACACCAAAGAGTGAACTCTGTACGATACTCTGTGTCAGTCATCCCAGGACAATGAACTGAATCCACTGGTGGGTCACATCCCTAAAAATTAAAAAAAATAAATGAAATTTTTAGCTTTAGATTATTTGTCGATACTTCTCCTCCAGTCATTAAGAAATCTGGATCATTCCAGCCCTTACCAGTGCCTATGTTAATGTTCATTTGATCTCTATGATATAAGATGTATACCTGCATAGTCTCCTAGGTCAGCATTAACTTCAATTATCTTTGAGGTTGTTTTCCAGTCATCATGATGATCAGGCCCTGTCCTCCAAGAGTTGGCATATTGGTGCATCCATTCCCAAGGATTGTCCACTCCCCATTCACAGGAATTGAAGAATATCGGCTTTCCAGTTTTATTAAGTGCATCAGACTATTTATAATGAAAAACAATCGTGGCAATATCTCCCTCGTATTGATAATCACCATTTCTTGATATTGTTTGTGTGGGTCTAGCTCAGTCCCATTGATCTTTGTGTTGCACCAATCCATTTTTACATCTAACAAATGCATAAAGTGGACCATGTCTTTAACAATGACTTACATTCAATGCCCCAGCTAGCATAAGTATTGGCATCTTGCTCATAATGGCCTACAAGAAATATTGAATTTTGAAAATTCTTACTAATATGCCATAAAAGATTAATTTTGTATATTTTAAAATAAAATCTCATTACCATAGCTTCCTGGTATTTTGTACTTCCTCCCACCAGAGCTGCATGTGTACAATCCTGCATCAGTATACTAGTAAAGAGGAATATGGTTATACATAAGACACTGTGTTGATAAGTTTTCTTACTAATCCAAATTTGAATCCTTTCGAATTGACGTATTTCACAACCGGAACAAGTCCACTATATACAACAGGAAAGGAACATTGATTGATGATTGTTACACACTTAATAGATCTTACTCAGGAAAGCGATCTTTGTCAGGAACAATATTACCCTTGTCATCACGATGATCGCCCCAGCAATCTTATGTCATTACAATGTACATATATATTCAGTTCATTATTATTAGGGATTCTTACCGTCCATATTAATATACTCATAGCCTGCTTCTTTCATGCCGTTAGTCGCCATTGCATCAGCTATTGCCATCAGCTCCTTGGCATCACAGTAATCTCGGCCACACCTGCAAACATTAAAAATCCAATTTTGATTGGAATCAGCTCAAACTTTCTACATAACATCAGAACATGTATATGTATCAGAAAAAATTATTAAAATGGGAAATTTTCTCCTAGCCACTTTTGACAAAATTTGGCCAAAGTCCCTGTGCTATAGTACAGGGACTTTGGCCCAATTTTTAAGTAACTTTTAAAATTCATAAAAAATTTAAATTTGATCGGAATCAGCTCAAATTTGCTACACAACATGAAAACATGTATGCATATCAGAAAAAATTATAAAAATTTAAAATTCTCTCCTAGTCATTTTTGGTGAAATTTGGCCAAAGTCCCTGTACTATAGTACAGGGACTTTGGTCCGATTTTGGAGTAACTTTAAAGATTCATAAAAAATTCAATTTTCATTGAAATCAGCTCAAACTTGCTACGCAACATGAAAACATGTGTATGTATCAGAAATAATTATAAAAATGTAAAATTCTCTCCTAGTCATTTTTGGTGAAAATACCTTGGACAATAGCCTATGATCATTGGTCAAATTTTAGAGCATGCAGCATTAGAATTTAGAATCTGCTCAAATTTTCTACATAACAATAAGATCTTATTTGAGACAGTTTTAGAGGGTGGGGAATGTTCTTATGAGCTTGATTTATTTGATTAGGTAGGCTGCATGCCTCCCATATGATGTGGCTACAGACCTTCCTAGTGAGCACCAGGTGTTCCAGCCCATTGGCGGCTTGAGACCAACTCCTAATGAAAACAATAGAATGCAGTTAGTCAATGACAAGCCATACTCACCATTGTTATTAGCAAGTACAGCTCCAGTTGCTGCAATAGCAAGAAACAAGAAGCTGAGCCACATAGCTATTGTATTTACTCTGCAATTTGCAAAGTAAGACTACCGTAAACATTCTATTTAAACGTTAACAATAAACATTTATCTTCTCCAATCTCAGCCATGTCGGCGCCTTGGCTCTCTGGTTCTGCAGTCTTGCTGTTAGTTCTTAGCCTCCAGCTCCACGTACAATTATCTGCTTCTATAACGGAGGAAGCTTTAGTGACGGACCTAGTTTATCTGGATATTGATATAGGCGGCAGGGAAGTCGGAAAGATTGTAATTGGATTGTTTGGTGCAACCACACCAAAGACTGTGCAAAATTTCATCTCCCTTGCAAAGCATGAAGTGAGAAGTTAATATGTGTATTCGTGTGTATAGTCCACTACTTTTATTTAGTATGATTTTGGCTATCGGGATTCAATATTTCATCGGCTCATACCAAATTTTATGATGCAAGGTAAACTTGGAAGATATTTTACAGACAGCAAGCAGCAAATTTTTGCCCCATCATTGCTCTTAGAATCAAGGGAAGGGTTTTGACTGGTTTGGACATAAGTAACTATTGTTCTATTGTTTATGAATGGAGCAAAAATAATGAGAGTCTATACTACACCTTGTGTATGCTTTTAGTGTTAATTTAGCTTATGAATTGCTAATTTGCAAAGCTACTTTTATTATTATTATTACCTGCTTGAGCAGGAGGTGATTTCACTAAAGGGGATGGCACTGGTGGTTACAGTATATATGGTCCTTATTTCAAAGATGAGAACTTTATCCATAAGCACTATGGTTCTGGCTGGGTCTGCATGGCTAATGCTGGTGAGGATACGAATGGGTCTCAGTTCTATATCACATTTGTTCAGACCCCTTGGATTGACGGGACTCATACTTGCTTTGGGAAAGTCTTATTTGGAATGGTAAGGCACATGATTGATTGAGTTGCTAGACAAAACATTTAATAGTCAATTGATTCTGACCAGATTTTGTAAATATTGTATGCAGAGCTAAAATTTTGACACAATTACTAATTTTTTTAAATTTTACAGAACGTAGTACGAGAATGTGAAAAGGTTCCGACAGATAAACATGACAGGCCTCTTCAAAGAATTCAGATATATGACTCTGGGATACTGCCTTTGACAAAGCCATTTCTAGTTGCTAAGAGTAATGCAGTTTTCAATGAACTGGATCATTCTCTCGTTGGGCCCATTTCTGAACCAACTCATGGCGACGATTTTGAGCCAGAAACAACACCCACTGAAGACTATCAATCTATTTGAAATTGTGAAATGATTTTTTTGTTTAAAATATTAATTTAGAAAATTGAAAATTAATGCATACACAGTAGCTATTATAGATGCACTCAATCCTAACCTACACAGCAGCAAAGGCAAATAAAAACTTATTATTTGTGCATGTCGTTGATTGCTTGCATCAGGAGCTGCTCCCAATCCTCTCCTTTCTTCATCTCACGATATACTTCCTCCTTCCCTTCTAGTCCCTCTACACAAGGATGCACTGGTACTGGTATAGACAAATGGTTCAAGAACTCTTGGAACTTTGCAGCAGTTGCAGTGGCCAGACAAACAGAAATGGGAGCATCACTGCTCTTCTCTCTATCTTTATCTTGACCTGCCAAAGCTACAGCTGTGTGAGGACACAACTGGTAACCTTCCTCTTCCCAAATTCTCTTAGCTACAGTGAATCCTTCATCTTGTCCAACTCTAACTGATCGTATCCTGCTAGCTCCAGTGGAAGCAGCATCGAGTATGCTCTGGGGTATATCTGCACGCCCGCTAGTATAATACTCTTTCATTAGTGAGTTTATTAGCTGGCCATCTCTGCCAGATAACAGATACAATACCCTCTCAACATTGTGAGGGAAGACTGTATCCATTGCACATGAGTAGGTCTTCACGACGGAGAGAGGACGGCTGAGCCTCTTTTCATTAAAAAGACGAAAAAAGAAATCGTTTTCGTTGACAGTGGACACCACGTTGATTGGTACACCCATCAAGGATGTTTGATAGGCGCTGGCAGAGTCTGCAAGGGCTCCTGAAGGAATGTAAAAGGTGACACTTTTGTCGCAAGAGGGGCACAGTTGAAGATAAGTATAGATATGATGGACTGTGTGACAGACTATCCTACCTATATTAGGACTGTTGACCCAGAGCAAGTTATACTTGGAGGCTATCTCTCTGTCTCGCATGAGCTTAACGATAATCCCATCGAAATTGTCTGTGTCAGTCTCACAGGATATATTGAGTATGTTTGGGGACTTTACTGTCGTCATTTGCAGCCTCTGTAGCATACTAATGCTGTACTTGGGATAGAGGCATATAACTTTAGTATTTTCCAGCTCTTTGAATGCACTGATTGCTGCACAGCCAGTGTCTCCCAGTGTGCCAATTAAAGCAATCCCTTTCTTGTTACGTTTTCTTAAAAAGTGGTCAATGAATCGGGCAAAGGGTACAAAGGCTAGGTCTTTGAATGCACCAGTTGGCCCATGCCATAGCTCCATTATGTTGTAATGGCCGACTCTCTTTAACGGTACAATATCAGGGTGATGAAAAGAAGCTGAGAATGAGCCTTTTAATAAATCTAAAATAAAAAATTATTAATGCATAATTTGTTTTAAAAAATTTCAAAATATGTAACCTGATAGCTCTTGGTTGGAGAGCTCATCTTCACCAATAAACAATCTTAGGACTTTCTCAGCAAGCTCAGTGTAGCTCAAACCAGCCCACGACTTTAATTGATCCTTGCTGATAGTTGGCAGCGACTGAGGAATGTACAGACCGCCATCAGAAGGAAGACCAGTCAATATAGCGTCCTGGAAAGAGACAGGAGTGGAACCACCTCTTGTTGAAACATACTTCATTGTTAGAGAAACCACACCTATTTTTAACCTTCTTTCCACGTGAAAGCACGTGAACAAAATAAATCTAGATCTAAACCACACCCATATTTATTACATCCACGCCCATTAACATTCTACTACAGCTGAAGAATGACTGAACTTTTGCTCAGAGAAGAAACCTCCTACTCATGGCTAGTAGGACTATTTTTGAATATTTTTGGTTGTGCAGTGATCATATTGCCAGCCACCCTCCTCATCAGATATCTCAAAGATTCAGAGAAAGTGAAAAGAGGTCTGTGTACATTTTAATTTTGCTGCTGTAATAAATTTATTGTTCATTTTTATGTAGGATCTGGTTCATTTTATTCACTAATCAGGTTATGCGTGCTAGGATCTGGCCAGGATACTGAGCTTGAGAGGCTAGAAGAAGGAAAAGAGAAAGTTGAGGCTAGTACTGAAGCAGCTGCGACACCATTGAGTCAGTATTGTACCAAACTCTTTGTGTGCATACTGGGCCTACAGTTCTCGTTCCTAGTCTGGGGCCTACTCCAGGTAATTTTCTACTTTGTCTATGATGTGGTTCCGTGGTATACTTCATTCCCTCCACAAATTAGTTATTTGATTCCGCTTTAAATACATTACTTATATTACGTCTACAATCTACAAATTTATTATAAAACCACACTGCACTGTTACTGCTGCTATTTATAGCATATATGCATGCCCTTATGTGCAAACTAGATGTTATAATTGATTTAGCATTGCCTCCATGAATTATCAGTAGTACATGTACTTAATAATCCTTTTAATCTATTGTAATACCTGTGTAGTATACATTGGCTCAATGCAACACTCATTCCTGCCTATTGTTCCTTTATTGTGTAGGAAAGAATAATGACAAGATCATATGATGGAGATACTTTCTCTAATTCCCAGTTCCTAGTCTTCACCAATCGAATATTATCCTTAATCACGTCAGCAATCTACATCAGTTTCACTAAGCAGCCCCCACACACAGCACCTCTCTATAAATACTCATTCTCTTCCTTCTCAAACATATTGAGCAGCTGGTGCCAATACGAGGCACTTAAATACGTTAGTTTTCCAACACAGATACTCTCAAAGTCCTCCAAAGTGATACCGGTAATGCTAATGGGTAAAATCATATCTAATAAAGTTTACCCATGGTATGATTACCTTGTTGCTGTATTTGTTAGCATAGGAGTGACCATATTTCTATTAGCTACCAAGACACATAGTGGCGTCGCCCGTGATACAACCTGTGCTGGTCTCTTTATTTTGCTGTGTTATATGATATTCGATAGTTTCACTTCAAATTGGCAGAGTAAGCTTTTTGTCCAGTATAAAATGTCGTCTTTCCAAATGATGTTTGGAATAAATATATTCTCGAGTCTACTTGCACTAGTGTCTCTCATCACGGCAGGAACTTTATTCACGTCTTTAGAGTTCTTTCTGTCTCATCCTTTATTTGCTGCTCATGCTGTCATTCTCTCAATTTGCTCTGCAGTCGGTCAGTTGTTCATCTATTACACAATATCTCAGTTTGGTCCTCTGATATTCACATTCATAGTAACTTCAAGGCAAGTGTTCAGTATACTCCTGTCTTGCTTTGTGTATGGGCACAGATTGACACTCATGGCAGTCGTGGGGATTAGTATAGTGTTCCTCTCATTGTTATCAAAGGCTCTACTGCATCACAGGAACAAGAAGAGAGTAAAATAAAGATAATTATGTGTCATATTTAAAAAACATTAATCTTAAAAGTCATTGCTTGCCATGTGACTCCACGTGTCCATAGTATACGGAGATAATAAAATTAAACGGAAATTTTACGAAAAAATAAACACAATACAGTATTGAAATCAACATAAAATATACTAGCCACACAAATCACACATTC